GAAAAAAAAAATTGATATCTGGTGCTCTGGTCGGTATAGTAACATATCCAAAATAATTACCGGCACTCTAGGGGTTTCCAATCTTAAATTTTCTTTTATTTCAAAAAACGACATCAACGTTTCAGCTCCCCATGGAGCTTTCATCAGGACACCAACTATACCATACTAAAAGGCTTATATAAGAAACTATTAATGACAGTACTTACATGTACAGGTGACCCTCATTCCTTCCGCCGCCGAGTGTGCCCCGGTCGCTACCACGGGAGTGTATCCACTTTCGGGTATCAGCCCATGTGACCAAGAGAGAAAAGAGATTCAATTGGCCGACCGGACCTCGTTCCTAGGCAACTAGAGACTCACATGTCTCATTAGTAACTTCCGTATGTATGGGCACCGCTGGGGAACAAATCTCATTAACCCTCCATGTATCAATCTTTGTTAGGGCATTGTCATAGCAACCGGAATGCAGCTGGACCGACGAGAAAGAGGAGTAGCACCTGAAAAGACATAAAAAAAAAAACACATAAAAAAACTAAATAAATGTGGATATGCAACCATATTGCTAAATATAAGTGTAACAATGTTGAGAATAAAAATTCCGAATCAAGATGCTTGTGAAATAAAGTGAAAGGAGCTATCACAGGCTCCTATGTAGTCACCAGTAATGTGAAATCTGTATAACATTCAAAATGTTCATAATAATTAGTGTACATTACAAGTATATGTATCATGGACTAGATGATTGTTACATATGTGCCATATACGATGTGTGCTAATAGGCAAGTATAAGAGATGAATGGAGAAAAAAGAAAAATAATAAAAATATTTTACCTGCTTTGTGCTATCTATTATTACACGATAAGCTAAAGTGCATAAGTGCAAAAATCAGTGCTATCTCTGTCATACACAAGAATAAAAAATATAAAATCATTAGTAAATGTGTCTAAACATACTATCTCTAATTGTGGTCCCTTTATTGACTTCTTTCCTAATGTCTTATTAGACCGTATGTACGAAAAATATTAAAAATATTTTAAAATTAAAAACAACAGTACTACAGATGCATATTTAGGGACAAAGCAGAAACCAAATTATTATATATATATATATATATATATATATATATGACTGTGTCATATATATGCAAATTAACTAGCTATTTTGACATGGACGTGGAAGGCCCCAGAAAGTACCAGCAAAAAAGATGATGTGTACAACTGTGGAACCTTCTAGATACTTCTAATTTGCTTGGAATGTGTAACCAGGTGGACAATAAGTTAAATTGGTTTAATCTGGTTACTGAATTGAATACCCTGCAAATGGATGATGTGTCCAACTGTAGACAAATCTGTTCAACAAGGCAGGCAAAGAGTTAGACTGGTGTGATCTGGTGACTCTGTTCCTAACACTTGTCTATTAAATACACACATGCAACATGCACACATACACATTATAAAAGTACGTATGACACCAATTGTACAGAACTGTGGTATATGTTGGTGCTCTCTATTAAATAATAAAAACATACAAAACACATTACTCTACTAGTGATGAGTCCATATCATGGAGATGGAACCAACAAAAAGAAATTGCTGAATCCAGTGTTTTAAAGGAATTAAGAAGTGGATATCAGATGACAATAAACAGAAAAGAAAAAAATTTAAAAAGCAAGAAAATGATACACTCTATTTGTCATTTAAACTGTATTATGTCAATTTGAACTAAATATCCTTTTTTATGTTTTCTGCAAAAAGCCATTAGTATATCACACTGTGACTGCAAAATGAAAGAAATGTCCCAGCAAAAAGGTGTATAGGCACTTTATATCTTAATAAACTGTGCACTAACTTTGTATAATAACAGGTGTTTCCCCTACCACCTCCAAAGAGACATAAAAACTAGAAAAAATATTATACACCCCATATTGATCACACAATACATACTTATGTATTAGTTGAAATCTTCCTTATAAAAATGTCAGTGGTAAATACCAGAATCTAAAATACAAATAGAACATAGACACACATTGTGTAAAGTATATGAATTAAAATTGGTGAATGTAATAAAATTCACAAGTATAGAGTTGTGCCAGGTTGCCAATACTGGCTAAAGCATCCACCATAGAAGGGAATTCTGGAAAATTTAGTAATCACTTTGTTCAAATGTACAGTGCTTAAAACAAAGGACAAATTAACGAGCAGTGTAAAAAATATTAAAACATGAATATGAAAACACAGCTAAGTCCAACAAGTGTCAGGAAGATGGATTTTGACCATTTAGTGCAGGTGTTGACCATTTAGTGCAGGGGTGCATACAAGATAGATCCCCAGTTGTTGTAGAACTACAACTCCCTTGATACTTTGCATACATTTGAAGTGCTCTCAGAATGACAAAGCATTATGGATGCTGTAGGCTTCAAACTTCTGGGGATCTACCTTTTGGGCAGCTTTGGTTTAGGGAATCTTCCTCAATGACACTGAGGAAGACTGTCTAAATGGTTTTCATTCTAATGCTCTCACATCTATGGATTCCATTCTCCAATCAGATTTGGTGGGTGTAACATATGATAATTAAGAATCTACGATTGATTGATTAATTAATTAAATAAATTTCCGCCACGTGGAAAAGAAAACGGCGGCCATCTTGTTCGCACGAGGAGAGCCAGCGGGACTTGGTCGTCGAGTGTCTGGAACTAAAATCGGGCACTCGACCTCGCGAACTACCGCTGGAAACTACCGAACTCCGGCTTCTCATACTTCCCGAACAGCCAGGGAAGCCTCATTCGGTAGTTCTGTGCGAACGGACAAGGGGAGCAATCGCTACTATGAGCCAGGGGAATCCATTTGGGACATTTGTTCATTTTTTACAGTTTTGTGAATTGACCAACCGCACATGCTGAATTCATGGAACTGTTTTGGGCAGGAGCTGCGTGTGTGGTCGGTAAAAGGGACCCTCCACACTTTTTCTGAACCCCTAAACCGATCTGGGTGAAATTTGGATATGTCAGGGGATATTTCAGGGGATATTTTGTGGGGATACCTTGTGGGGAAATATTACATCCCCTGGTAGCCCTGATCTGGGTGAGACAAATATCCAAAAAACACCCAGATCAGATCAGGAGTTCAGGAGTTATGGGGGTTTAACGTTTTGTGGAGGTCCCTTTAGGCCCACTGAAGCATGGCTTTCCAGCCCAAACCAGTTCCAAGTAGTCTGGCAGTGTGCCTGGGACAACACCCTGCTTGAGAACAATGGGACAGGAAATGGGGGAGGGGTACACCTTCCTATACACAGTCTAATAGAAGTCCATACACTGTGCTTAAAGGGCCAGTAGCCGCATAATAAAAATCATGCCCAAATACTGTCTTTAAAGGGCAATACTCCCAGGGCCATAGTCACATGGCAGAAGGCGGGCAAGCAAGCCCCTCCAAAAGCTCATGGCAAACTCTCTTAAAGGGGTGAGTTTGCTACATATCTTCCCTGTTCCATTGAGACTATCCAGACTCCAGACCTCCCAGCGGTCTGGTGCTCTGATAGTCTGCCAGCCTTTCTCAACAGGTTTAGTTGTACAGATGGCCTCCTGCCACCTGTGCCCAGTTGTAGATCCTGGGTCTTGTGGAAAAACAACCCAGATGCCTTCTCCCCTGGTTGGACAAAGCTGTTGCTGGGGACGGTGGGTGCCGGGTGGGTAGAGGCCAGCAGCGCTCTGCCCTATAGTCAGTGGTTCCACTGGGTTTGTTGGTGGGTCGCCAGGCCCCAAAACAAAGAGGTAGAGAGGGCAGAGGCTACCTGCACTCTGCCCAGATGCCAGCTCTTCTGCTGGGATGGGGTCAGCGAGTGCTATCCCCAGGACCAGGTTGTGGATTGCCTGTGGAGAGGATGGACCTTTTGCCTCTTCATCCTGGCATTCCTGTGAAGGTGGTTGGGGATCTGGCTGTCTCCCCTTTCAATAGCATACTCAGCCGCTGGGGAGTGAGACCGGTTGTCTCCCCTCCCTGTAAGGCACTCTGCCGCTGTGGAGAGAGACTGCCTGTCTCTTCTACCAATAACTCCTGTTGCTGTTGGGAAGTGAGACTGACCATCTCCCCTTCCAATACTAAACTCCGCCGCTGGGGAGTGAGACCAGTTGTCTCCCCTCCCGGTAAGGCAATCTGCCACTGGGGAGAGAGACCGACAGTCTCTTCTCCCAACATCACACTTGGTTGCTGGAGGGGGGGACAGACTGTCTCCCCTTTGGCTAAATGGTCCTGCTGTCGGGACACAGGACAGACTGTCCCTACATCCCCGGTGGTGCAGGTGCAGAGACTACGGTCCCATCTGTACTGTTGTGGGGCTTACTGTCTCCCCTTGGTGGGCTATGCTGCCACTGATAAGGGAGGACGCTGCTCTCCCCTCCCAGTGAGACACACTGACATTTGGGATCTGGGCCAACCGTCCAGCATCCCTGTAGCTCACCCTGCTGCTGGGGAGGGAGGACGCTACTCTCCTCTCCCTGCAAGGTACACTGCCGCTGGGGAGGGGAGACAATGTTCTCCACTCCCTGCACTTCATACTGCCACTGGGGATCTGGGCCGACTGCCCAGCATCCCTTTAGCTCACCCTGCCGCTGGGGAGGGAAGACGCTACTCTCCTCTCCCTGCAAGGTACACTGCCGCTGGGGAGGGGAGACAATGTTCTCCACTCCCTGCACTTCATACTGCCCAGCATCCCTTTAGGGCAGGGGTTCTCAACCCAGTCCTCAGGACCCCCTACCAGTCCAGGATTTGGGGATTACCTGGGTGTGTCTCAGGTGTTTAGAAAAAGGGAAAAAGACACCTTAGACTCTAAGGTGTTTTTTTTTTTCTAAACACCTTAGACACACCCAGGTAATCCCTAAACCCTGGACTGGTAGGGGGTCCTGAGGACTAATGTTGAGAACCCCTGCTTTAGGGCCAGTAGAGAGACCGCCGTCCCCTCTCCACCTGCCATCTGTGGATCTTCCCAGGACCAGTCTATGAGGTCCCTCATTTCTGGGGCTGGTTGGGGATTAGATGGTGCAGGCCCCAGGTCTCCTGATGACGGACTTAGTTGTTGGGGAGGAGTGACGAAACTCAACGCTCCCAATGGTGTACAGTCCATAAGCCCTACCATGTCAGAGAACTGTGGTATCACTGGATCAAATAGCGGATCATAATCCTGTTCGAACTCCCACTGCTCTGGCGATACCTGCAGGGTATAGAGTGACTGACTGGAGCTTATCAGGTGCTGGTAATCCTGCTCAAGTTCCCATTCCTGGACGGCCAATTCAATCAGGTCTGGCTCCTGGTCTTCAGCCATAGGGAGATCCAGCATGGCCTCTCTATAGTTAAGTATGTCCCAAAGCCGGGATTCTGCCACACTCCCAAAGTCCGGTTCCGCAAAGGCCCCCCATAATAAGCCAGGGCCATTGTAATCCTTGCCCTCTGGTTTGTCGAACTTGGCCATTCCGGGAACCCGCTGAACTGCGTACCAACATAGCGCTTGGTACGCATCATCAAGAACCAGTTCCCTCCATGCTAGTGTATCAAGCTGTATCACCAACTCTTCCCGGGACTGGTCTCCCAGCATAGGTATCCGTAGGGCCATTCGAGCTTGTAATCGCTGCTCCTTGCTGGGGAGGCTCTAACCTCGCCAACGCTGGACACCCTCCAGAGTTTCTTCCCACATCTCTTGTCGGGCGTCCTCTCTGCATGCCAACCTGGTTGCCTCTGCTATCGGCTTATCCAGTGTGGCCAAGATGCTCTGTAACCTCCGGTTAAACTCATCTTCCACCTCAAGCTCTGTCCAGGGACTTGCTGGCTCTATGTCGCTCCATATTGATTCCTGTGTCTCCAAGGTGCTCTTACTCTCTGGAGTTTGTTGGACCCTTTGTCTTAATACAAACTCCTGTACTTCTGTCATGGTTCTGGAGATAATCTCTGCTGGTGGATTTTCCCCATAGAATGACAGCCGGAATTGTAGTTCCCTTTGAAATTCCAACCGCCCTTGTCCCTCTGCTGTGTTATTCTGTACCAAAGCCGGACCCTCCTCTGCTCTGTTTTCCGCCATGACTTCTGCAACCTGGACTGCCTTAGTCTTGTTGCTGGCAGGAATCCCCTTTGCTTCTAGAGGTCCTTTAAAGCAGATTGCTTTAACCCCTTAAGGACCAAACTTCTGGAACAAAAGGGAATCATGACATGTCACACATGTCATGTGTCCTTAAGGGGTTAAAGTGGTGCAATAGATCTCCAACCATGATCCATCAGTGCTGTTGCCTTTCCTGGTACTTGCTCCTCTGTGGGTCTAGATCCCGACGCTGCCAACCGATGTAGCGGAGAGCTGATTTCTCACAGCTTAACTCCACCAAGTACTTTAAGAGGATGCAGGAACAAGTAATAAATCCAAGAGAATATCCAGCACAATCAGCAGTACAATCCAATAATATCCCATCACTTTTCCCAATCACTGGACGACACACAGTATCAGGAGTAGAACTGAACTTTTAATTACACAACCTTCTTTTAAAGGGAGGGATTTACAGTAATTACACAATACACCAATCATACATGAGTTGCCACCCACACATCACCTCCCCTTAGTGTGACACATAATCCCATTATGCAGGACACAGTTCCCCTGGTTTTCTGAATGTACCCCTAAACCTAGGAGAACCCCTTTAAATATTACATCCCCTGGTATCCCTGATCTGGGTGAGACACATATCCAAAAACCACCCAGATCAGATCAGGGGTTCAGGAGTTATGGGGGTTTAAAGTTTTGTGGAGGTCCCTTTAGGCCCACTGAAGCATGGCTTTCCAGCCCAAACCAGTTCCAAGTAGTCAGGCAGTGTGCCTGGGACAACGCCCTGCTTGAAAACAATGGGACAGGAAATGGGGGAGGGGTACACCTTCCTATACACAGTCTATATAGAGTCTAATAGAAGTCCATACACTGTGCTTAAAGGGCCAGTAGCCGCATAATAAAAATCTATCATGCCCAAATACTGTCTTTAAAGGGCAATACCCCCAGGGCCATAGTCCCATGGCAGAAGGCGGGCAAGCAAGCCCCTCCAAAAGCTCATGGCAAAGTCTCTTAAAGGGGTGAGTTTGCTACAAGGACAAAGCAAACGACTTCTGATGTGGTCCCCAAGGCGGAAACAAAACGACGTTGCAAGGTGAGAGCTGAGAAGCCCCTCACGGGCGAATCGATGCTGAAGCAAACAGCACACCTCACTCCACGCCTTCCAGGGACTAAGGCCACCAGGCAACTGACCCCTAAGCAACGAAGGCAAAAATGCATGCCGTACAGTGCCTCCTACATTCTCCCGGATGGGAAGGACTTGGCCACAACAGTGGAAGCAGCGCAGGGAGAAATGGAGAAGAGAAGCCCAGATTGGACTTGGACTCTCGCCTGTGGCCCGCATGTGGTATTGGGTGACACTATGGTGGTCTCTACCTGCTGAGTTGATATCATCTTGTCCAAATATGCTCTTTATGCCTATTCTCTATACCCCCTATTTCACAGTATGTGTGGTAGAACTGTGTTCAGCATATGCATTGCTTTTTCTCTATTATTTTTATTTATTTATTTTATTTTTCTTCTTTTCTGTTCCTCATTTGATTATCTCTCATGTGGGTGCTGTCTTAGGAATATATCAGAAAATGGGGTAGACAGGGAAATACTTGCCTATTCAGTGATGCATGTATCATACACATATATTGTGCCGGCTCCTGTCTCAACATAAGCAACTTTAAACTAGACAAGCATGGTCAGCACGTTTATTACTATTATTTGGCACTATCATAAGTCTTATTTTACTGAAGCTATGACAGATGTGGGAGCCAGAAGAAATACTGGCTTCACGGTTATTTCAATTTTAGCATCTGATGCCTACACCCCAACAGGGACAGAGAATTAAAGGAGGAAAACAGGATGGAACTCCTCCAGCATTATCTTGCTTGTACCCAGTGGAACTAAAGTTTCATAACCCCTATATCTTAAGCACCCTGTCAACTTAAACTAACAGACAGCCCATTACCTCAGCAAGTTCAGGGCCTGTGACGATACCTTACCTTTCCCCTCCGGACCCGCGCAGCGCGGCGGTCTCCCTCGCTGCTTCCTGGAGGCGGCGCAGCCTGTCGGGCGCTGGCCGCTTGCGGCACACTTCCTCTTATGACACGGCGCATGCGTGCCTACGTCATCAGGATTTTGCCGCGAAAAATCAAACGTGGCCACGCTCCTGGACCTTCTGGGGGCATGGCTTTAAAGCAAATGACATCTCACTATAAAAGGGCACCCCTGTCCTTCCCTCAGCGCCCTAGTGTGGTTCTTGTTTGTTCCCTCTAGTGCTCTTGATAATTGTGTCTGTTTTCTGGTATATTGACCCTTGGCTTTCCTTACTGACTATTCTCTCTGGCTTCCTGAATTTTGGCTTGGTAATTTCTCGTGTATTCCGTGTTCTGTACTCCCTTGACCTCTGACTATTCTTTTGACTATTCTCTGACGTTAAGCCCGGCCACCCTAAGGTCCGGTATATGTCTCTTTCTGGGTTACTATCTGCGTGTAGGGGTCACTGTCATGACAAGGCCTTTGTCCTAGCATACCATCTTTGAAGTCAGCTAGCTACTAGTGTCCCTGAACCTCAAGCCCGTTTTATGGTAAGCCTAGCCGGCCTAGCCGCATGTTCCTAAGGTTAAACAGGACTGCCCAGCATGTTTATTTACAGATATTTCATATTTCTTTTTTGCTTTTGGGTTCGAGATGAGTGCCTAACAATAACCACCTCATAAGCCTAGCCAGCTCATCAGACATATGCGTTGTCCCCCCTTCTGCTCAGATAATGGAAACAAACGTCAGTACCATGTGAAGTTAGGACATACAGGCTGAGAAATGTAATTACTCTGTTCATCTATGTTTTTACGCTACTTTAAACATAAAATAACAGTGCAGTAGGCTTTGAATTTTTATACAAACCAACATTGTCTATTATCGATGTACCTATGCCTATTTATGTCATTGCCAAATGTTGTACTCACTACTGCAATGTCAAGAAAAAAAAAAAGGAAAAAAAAAGAAAGATATAAACGTAGAAAAATAGAATGTGACAGTAGATAAGAACCATTCAGCCCATCTAGTTTGCCCAATTTTCTAAATACTTTCATTAGTCCCTGGCATTATCTTATAGTTAGAATAGCCATGTGCCTATCCCACGCATGCTTAAAATCCTTTACTGTGTTAACCTCTACCACTTCAGCTGGAAGGCTATTCCATGCATCCACTACCCTCTCAGTAAAGTAATACGTCCTGATATTATTTTTAAACATTTGCCCCTCTAATTTAAGACTATGTCCTCTTGCTGTGGTAGTTTTTCTTCTTTTAAATATAGTCTCCTCCTTTACTGTGTTGATACCCTTTACGTATTTAAATGTTTCTATCATATCCCCCCTGTCTCGTCTTTTCTCCAAGCTATACATGTTAAGTTTCTTTAACTTTTCCTTGTAAGTTTTATCCTGCAATCCATGAACCAGTTTAGTAGCCCTTCTCTGAACTCTCTCTAAAGTATCAATATCCTTCTGGAGACACTGTCTCCAGGACTGCGTACAATACTCAAAGTGAGGTCTCACCAGTGTTCTGTACAATGGCATGAGCACTTCCCTCTTTCTACTGCTAATACCTCTCCCTATACAACCAAGCATTTTGCTAGCATTTCCTGCTGCTCTATTACATTGTCTGCCTACATTTAAGTCATGAGAAATAATCACCCCTAAATCCCTTTCCTCAGATGTTGAGGGTGGGACTCTATCAAATATTCTGTACTTTGCCCTTGGGTTTTTACGTCCAAGATGCGTTATCTTGAACTTATCCACATTAACTGTCAGTTGCCACAACAGTGTCAAAAGCCTTAATGAAATCTAGGTAAGCAATGTCTACTAAACCACCCTGATCTATTATTTTAGTTACCCAATCAAAAAAATCAATAAGATTAGTTTGGCATGATATCCCTGAAGTAAATCCATGTTTTCTCTGATCTGGAAATCATGTGATTTTAGCTGTTCAACAAACCTGTCCTTTAACATGGTTTCCATTACTTTTCCCACTACTGAAGCAAAGCTTACAGGCCTATAGTTGCCCGACTCCTCCCTACTGTGAATGGGCACAATAATTGCTAACTTCCAGTCTTCTGGGACTACTCCTGTTAACAATGATTGGTTCACATAAATCTGTTAATGGTTTTGCTAGTACCCCACTAAGCTCTTTTAATAACTTTGGGTATATTCCATTAGGTCCCATTGACTTTTTTGTCTTTACTTTTGAAATAGAACCTTTTCCTCTGTAGACTCAAATGTAACAAATGACTAATGTGCCCTTTTACCTATCTGATGCCCCTTTCCTTCATTTTTATCTGCAAATACTTAACAAAAATATTAATTGAGGCAGTCAGCTAGACCTTTATCATCTTCTACATACCTTCATTATTTTGTTTTTAATCTAACTAATCCTTGTTTTACTTTCCTTTTCTCATTTATGTATCTAAAAAATGTTTTTTTTACTGACTGTGCTATTTTCTCTTCTGAGTGTGATTTGGAAGCTCTTATAACTTGCTTGGCCTCTTTGTGCTTAATCTTACAAATAATTCTGTCTTC